GTATGTATATACCACGTTTTCTTTAGTCTTCATCTGTTGATGGACACTTGGGTTGTTTTCACATCCGTCCATGGTGAATGGTTCTATGAACATTGGCATACAAGTATGTTTGAGTCTTTGTGGCTTTCCATTCTTTGGGTATACACCTAGGTGGGAATTGCTGGGTCATGTGAAATTCCAGGTTTAACTTCTCAAGGAACTATCAAAAGCACATATCTTTGAAGAGCTCTTTGGGTCATTCTAATGTGCAGCCAGGGTGAGAAGGACTGACTGTAGGTGAAGGCTGCTAAGAAGGTGCTCCTGATGGAGAGGGAAATAGGGAGCTAGGAGTAAAGGCAGTTCTTTGTACTTAAGTCCAAGGGGTTAGTGTCTGTACAAATTTTCCTCCAATGTCATTTCCAAAAACTCCTCTGATAAGGAAATTAACTATGTTTGAATCCAGATCTATTCCTGACTTCCTTTGTGATTTCCAATGAAATTTTCTGAAAATGATTTCTGGTGTATCTGTTTTCCCACTTGGAAATCTGTATCACACTTTCTTCCCGGTATGTTGAAAAATGACATTAGTAAGGTGGAGGCAAAGTCCCTAAAGAGTGTTTGAGCAACACCAACAGTATTTCCTCTAGATGTATGTGGGCTGGGAGGTCCTGTCCCTGGCATAACAACTGCCTAAGGTAAGGATCTCAGCAGTGTCCCTTACTTAAAACATCTGACTTTTCATGTTAGTTTCTGAGTTGCTCTCAAGGGGGTAGAAAATGTCTGATCTGATGTATCTGATATTTCACTCAGTCCCTTTGGGTTCAGCTTGTCACTGCCGAAGTTCATTTCAAGTATGTCAGCCTTTGTCACACCAATAGAGCATTTTTTTTTGTGCTGGGCTTAAGTTGACAGTTGTCAAGTGTTGTTTGGCCCTGGGTGGTGGGGGTAGGAGGGGGACCAGTGAAGGAAGTGACAGAGAAGGAAATAATCTTACAATCATTTGAAGCTATCACAGGAAACACACCAAGTGCTTCTAGATGTACAAACTCCTGAGCAGTGGAACTAGGGAATTTGTACACAATTTCCTCTGCTTGGGCAGATTTGGTCCGTAGTTAATGGATGCTTTGATGGTGGAGCAGTTTTTACTTAGAGTTAGGGTTATCATTGCAAGAATGGCCCTTTGTGGAACTGATATTTCTTCCACTGCTAAATTTGGGTGATGCTGAAAGTACCCCTGTACAAATCAGAGTCCCACGATGCACACGAAACCTGCTTTGTTTTCCAGAGGCCATTGCTTTGTTGGGGACATTAAGAAGACTCAAAGGCACTTTGAGGCTTGGAGTAGAGGGGGTTAACAAGGGATCATTACACTATTCTGGATTGGGTGTTCTGATTGTGGTATTTCCCATATCACAGGGTTTCAAGGGAGTGATGGCCAGCATCTCTTTGGGGGGGGGGTTCTTCCTGCCCAGGGGAGTCCAAGCCACCCTAAAACTTTTAATCTCAGGTAAGTCATCAGTAACAAAGCATAAATTCTCAGAAACATGTTTATAAAAAATACGAAGACCCTGATAGATCTAGTCCACATGGGTTCTGGAACTAGATAGAAAGAAAATGGCTCAGATGGTTTATTTAAGGGGGTACATCAAAGGTAGGGATAAAGTTTCAAAGGCAGAGTCTTGCTTCATGATGTCTTGCAATCAGCAGGTTGATTGCCATCTTGGTAGGTCACACCCAGCTCAGGTGCTATGTGAGCCACGGCAGAGAGGGAAAGAGATTCATTCACATTGTCCCTGGGCAATTGATCAGAGGAAATGTCCATTGGCCATTCCCAGACACCAGATGTCTCTATCCATGAGACTTCCATGTGTGGCCCACATGCAACCCAAGGATGGCTCCTGACAACAGGGTACCCCAGGGGCAGCTCCATCTCCAAAGGCCCCTACTTGGCCCAGGAAGAGGTTCCTGTGGGGCCTCTGCTTCTCCTATCTGGCTTCCTTTAAGACTCTGTATTGACACCTGATGTTGAACTCTCTTTCTAGAACTTTGCTTTAGGTACCTTTTGGACTCTGTCTCTGGGCAGATGTGCAGCATCATGGTTTGCTCCACTGATTTCCGTTGTCCCTGTACCTCCTGTCTCTGATCTGGAACAGATCCTGAGCACAGTCCTTATTTCTGTTTCCCCATCACCAACCCTGGGTCTTCCCTTCCCAGTCTCTGTACCTGCCAAATGCCAGGATTCTGGTCTTGCCTCAGCTTCTGCTGCTCCCTTGGCATGGCTGTGCTGACCTGGCATCAGCTCTTTGGATCCCAGCATGCATCTTTCCTCCAGTCACCTCCTCCACCCCTTACAAATGTCATCCTGGCTCTGGATATGATCTTTGGAGTGTTGCAGGGAAGAGGCAGCTGAAATGAAGCCATCGGATTCTGTACTTTTTATCATTAATCATGACAAATGATACTTGGATCTCTCGCCTGTTTGAAATGGGAGCTCATAGTACTGAACTGTCACTTTGATGAAACATCAAAGTCAGTGGCCGGAGCCAAAGCCTGGGGTGGACACTATCAGTGCTCTTGATTCCTAGAGGGAGTATGGACAGGGACACAGTAAGCCGAGGAACCCACACAGTCTAAGCCACTTCTAACGAAGCCTTTGGGAATTCCCTGGGGCTCTTCCAGGGAGAGATGCTGTGTCTTTTAAACTGCTTTCTTTAGCCTAAAATTGAGGAGGAGATTTGCCTTTGAAATCTTTAACAGAAATCAAAGAAGAAATTTAAAGAAACACGTATCTGTGAGAAACTTTAGTGATTACGTAGTTTTTTCTACCTGTTTTGTCTGTTTACCTGATGAGGAAACTGAGGCCTGGAAAGATTGCATAGAAAGATTAGGGTGTCCTAATGTCACATTCTCTACCAGAGGGGACACCAGCTGCATACCCTGCCCAGCTCTGTTCTTAAATTGCTATGTGTTTTATTGCTATTAAATTCCTCAGACCTGCAAGTTCCTCTCTTCTCCCAAATGAAGGATATTTCAAGATCAGTTCAGTCCACTCCATTAGTGTTCATATACTCTAGGATATCTTTTCTGAACACATCCAGAAGTTAATCAAGAAGAGAGCAGGTGGAGAGTGTGAGGTTTCCCAAAGCTTACATCTGGGGGTTGGTGCGTGCAATGTGCCATGAGATCTTTATTGGCAGAGTATTTAGTGATACCCAACCTGGGGTTGGAGGACACAGACTGCATGGTTTCTTTGGCCAGAAGGGTATGTTAGAAAAGTACACCTCTCCATCAGGTATGGTGGTTTGCCTCCAACCCAATGAAGCAGCTACTATCATGACTCTTAGTGGGTGACTGCTTCTTCAAAGATAATAACAGAATTTTACCAGACTTGGCCTAGGATTGGATGTGAACTTGCATATGAATTTGGATGTTGTTTTCCCTTTCTGTATTTCAGTTTTTCTCGTCTGTTAAACAAGGGAAGTTGCTGATATCTAAGATCTTTGAGGGAACACTGTTCTATGACCCATGTGACACTGTGGAGTGTCACAGGCCTCTTTTAAAACAAATCTTCAGTCCCTACATGGGTTGCAGCTTCTTATGGTCAGGAATATAATTGAAACCATTGGTTGGGAGCTGATTCTAGAATGTGAAGCCTGCCATCATAGTTTTTTCCCTTTCCATACTCCTTCCAAACTAACAGGTCTAAGCCACTGCCAGTTTCTCAGTCCAGGACCTGCCTTAGATTCCCCTGTGTTATTAGGTGGGGAAGAGTAGGAGAATCCATAGAGAATATTGCTACTGATCCCATGAGGTCTGTCCAGGATATTCTATCCAGTAGGATTCAAGGAGTCAGTGCAGGATAGTTGCATGGGTATATTATGGTCTGGATATTGCTTATCCTTGGAAATATCCCAGGGGAGCCCAGATTAGTAGACAAACTTCCAGCAGGCCATCGGATGCCATCAAGGGAAGCTGGTGGTAGGCTTGATCTCACTGGGAAGCTCTCCTCTGCAGTCAGGCATCCTATCCTTAACACTTGGCTTCTATCAACTTTCCTAAAGCCAATGGGGCTTATGCCAAGGCTCATGTGAGAGATCAATGCCAGATCTCTCCATTGCCATAAGGAGCTTAAAAAGGGACACAAAACACACCCATCCACAAGTAAGTGCTGATGTGTGAATGATCCTGGATTCTTCATACCTTCTGGCACTTTCCTCCAAAGGTGGGTGTCCGAGCTGTGTGTGCCACGTTCCATTCTGACCTTGTGGTTCTTGGGGCAGTTCTGCTTATCAGAGACCTATGACACTTGTCTCCTCCTACAGGGAAACTGGGACCCAAAGTTTGATAAATATTGCCCTAATTTCTTTTTTAATTTCC